AACACAATGTTATAAATAGGAGGGGGGAAAAACAACCTCAGAACACCAAGGAATTACTTTCTTGTTTTCCCGATAGTGTACGTCAGGTCCCTTGTGTGACTTTCCTTTGGTCCCTTGTCAAATCTGGAGTCTGTTTTTTGTAGCCCCAATTGCACGCAAGTCACAAATTGCTGGGACTCCAGCTTGTCTGTTTAGCAATTGGAAAAACAGTAACTTGCAATCAGACTTGGGCCTGGCTGTCCAACCGGACGTAAAAACACATAGATTTAGATTAACATTGTGGAGTTCTTTAGTTTGTTGTTCGGAATTCCTCAATGCATATAGGAAGTAATTGGATGTATTGCATGCGTTAAGATCTTATCTCTTTTATAAATCATACAAAGTCTCCACTTGCAATCAGGCCAGACTGCACAGTATTATCACAACCTCCAACGTTTTCCTTTTGCGTTGTCAGTGAGACTGACGCTGAACTTGAAAAACAGCGTGTCGTCCGACCACGCTCCTGTCCCCATCTCTGTCATTGTAATAAAGAAATCTTTCACAAGGCCTTGAGGTTTTACTTCTTAAGTCCAGTCACTCCTAGCGTGTCCTTAGACGTGCTGGGTGTAAGGTCAGCGGTCTGGTACCAATAAAATAACCTGCATGGTGCCATCCATTCAGTGTGTTTGGTTGTGTGGTTCCTGTCTCCTTGTTGACTGAGGGTCCTGTTAGGATTTGTATTTTTCATCGGTCTATTCTTGGAAGCACTGTGGGTAGGGAAAGCGGGGAGGGGGCAGTGCTGGTTTGTCATTTCTTGGAGATCAATTTTAATACATGCGCATGACCTCAAGTGTTCCCTTTGCATGAACAATTTTGTTTTTACATGAAGGGTGATACAAAAATTTGAAGCCATTAGAAGCAAGGTGTGCTTTATTTCATTGTTGCATAATCGTACATTCATTAGATGAAAACAACAAAATTAAAAAAAAAAATTACAGAAATTGACATGAAGAATTTTGAAGAAAATCAAATTTGAAAGTAATGTCCCTCTCATCTTTCTATGAGTAAAACTGCTTTGCTTTTAAAGGTCTGGCTGTTGAAATTTGCTAAGGTTATCAAGTCGGTGGAAGTCGTTAGCTCAATCCCAAATTGCTATTAAACGCCTCATAATTTTCTCACAAGGCAAAACAGGTTTGGCCATAAAGCCCAATCGGAAATATCCCTGCTCAGCCTCAAACTTGACAGATAACGACCCTGAAACGATTATGAACCAGCGTAAAACCAACCAGCCATAAAATAATACCCCCACACCTGGGTAGTTTGCGACCATTTCCTCGGTACCCAGCCTGTGTCGGTCCCACTAAGTTCAAGGTCTGGTCGTTTTATTGTTTTTGTGCCGAGCATATGCTGCGGATCATAAATCACAGCAATTTTGTTGTTTACCGGGGTCTGTGTCTCTGATTTTTGTTCGGAGCAACTCTGGGGAAAGGTGGCTGGGGGTTCATTGGGGGAGGTGTCAGGGTGTTGATTTTATTAGTTCCTGCTGGGGAAAGGTTTGTTGTCTCTTTTGTTGTTACCAGATTTTTTGGGGGGGGGGGGTTGGGGGAGGGATGCATAGGTGTGATGATGTTGCTCTTTGTGTCAGGGCTGTTGTTTTAGAATGATCCAGGCTTTAGTGTTTGTTTTGGTTTGTATTTTGGGGAAAGTGATTTTTAGTTACTTGCAGATGGAGCACATTGTGGAAACGCACACTGCAAAAAAAAAATACCCCGAATAGCCTGTATTAGTTTGTTGAACAAAATGGCAGCATTGGTTATTCCATTCATGCAGGTTTTGAAAACAACTACCCGAAATAATACTAATATTGATGCCATGGAACATTTGCATCAGACAGTCATTATTAGAATGAAGTGAAATTGACTGCGCTCTCCAACCACCAAATTACACTGTCAAATGCTCTCCAATGAAGTGGATTCAGTTTTACTTTTCCCCATGTATTGGTCGTGTGCAAAGGCTTTAGTTGGAGCCTTCAATTGGCAATGACGTGCCCAGAGTGTGCTGTCAAAGTGTCAAGCCTCAGTCACCCCCTGTTATTTCACACACTGCAGTGATAAACTCTGACACCGCAACTTCCATATAGTCTGCAGTTCATTTCATGTCTGTCTTTTAGCAATACATTTAGTTAATGGGCTCTGCGCGCAAATACCCCCTCAATGGTTCAAAGAGAGAGAGAGGCCACTGGAACTGATTGCGCGAATGCATTACTTTCGGCGCCTGACGCTGACCCAAAAATGCCACTGTTTGTGCTAATCTTTCAAATAAGTCATGCGCGTACTTCACGCCACACTACATGTAAAACATACATGTAGTTCATGTTCCCCCAGTGGAACTTTCGAAAGAAGCGCCATTTACTGTTCGTGCATCGAGGCCATATGAATAACAGGCATGCAACTTGTCCGCGGATCCGCTGGTTTCCTCCTTTTTTACTTCTCATGAATGCCATTACAAATTGAAAAACACTGTACAAAGTCTTGTGTGGTTTGGAGTTTCCTTGTTTTTTTTTCTAAATTCCCAGTTGCATGCCTGGTATAAGCTTCTTGTTAACATTTGTTGAAATTAAGGAAAAGCAGAAAAATCGACTCAAAAGCTCAACATTGAAAACTGTCGTACAGTATCATGAATATGATTTCCAGATGTACCCAAATGATAATTGTAAACAATGACTAGTGTGTGTATAATAAGACAGAAACAAAACCACAGTAAAATGTCTCGCCCATGGACCGTAAACTCAAAACAAACTGTGACTCATTTCGCAAAACGGACCAATGAATAAATGCACAACATTGAACAGCAGTCACTGGAGAGAGTTCACTAATATGACATAAAGTCTGGGTATCATAAGCACCCCAGCAGCTAGACCTTGAAACTCATTGTAATGAATCTTTATTAAATTCTAGTCGGGCCCATCCAGCCACATCCATTTCTATTCCTTAATTGCCCATGTGTGAGTCGTATCTAAAAAGAGAAGGAAAAAACGGGCTTCACAGGCTGGAGCTAGTTTTTTATTGAAGAAGGCACACGCTGGCAGCGAAACCCAAGACTCAAGTTCATCATTTGCTGGGTTTGAGTATGAAACCGAGATGGCGGCCTCCCTCTAGCAAACTGCCGGGGGTAATTAGCATGACTCCCACCACACACCTGTCTGTCTTACTCTGTTTTTTCCCCGTTTTTTCCCCCTGTCGCTTTATTTTTTACTTTGGTTTGCGAGAAGAGATGTTTTACAGCCAGACGTGACAATGTCCGACAGGCCTTTAGGCTCATTGTGGAGAAACACGCCTTTGTTTGGTCTCGGTTGTGTTAATAGTAGACAAGGGCACTAGGTTGAGGGAATTTGAAATGAAGGAAGAATGGTTGAACCTGGTTACTTTTGAAATCAGATGTGGGGAGGGGAGTGAGCGAAACGGTACATGTCATCGAAATTGACTTGTACTTTCATAAACAACTGTATTGAGAAGAATATTGCGCATGAGTGGGCTAAAATGAAAGTGAAACATTTTCCAGGGAAGTTGTTTAAATTTACTGTAGCATCACGTGTGTCTGGTTCCATTAAGTTTGTTTTCTCTTGTGGAAATGTATTAAGTCTCGAAATTTATTTGGAAAAAAAAAATTGGACAGAAAAAATACATAAACATTAACCCCAGTATCGCTATTAGAAAATATGTTGATGTGCATAGTACATATACTGTACATACATGTACAAAAATGTGTACATTGCTTTATGTTTATCTCAGGTTTAATTAAATGTGATTCCAGTTTTCGATGTTTAACTTTTCTATTTGTTTTAATTCAAAACTTCATTACCCATTTAAAAACTACATGTATTAAATATTGGTTTGAAATGAATTTCTCTGAACATCAAAAAAGCATAGATTTCAATACAGTGCAGAATTGTTTAATTGCCCATTGTCTAGAACTTAATGAATTCAAATATGGATGCTTGCATACAATTGTATGCATTGTAAAATATGCAAATTTGAACTCGTTAACATGTCATTGACCAGGGATTTAACACAGCCGGGCAAGGCAGAACACACACACAAGCTTTCCAAGAATGCAGCTTTCATCACGATGACTCAGTACCACTGTACACATTGAACCAATCCTCTCCCATTAATGATTAACAAGTAGTGTTTGAACATCGCAACAGTCTCTCAACTCAGTCAACTGAGTGCGGCATTAATCATTACTGGCTATCAAATAGGAAAAAAAAACACCTGAAGTGCTGCAGTAGGTAAATTAATTGATATCTTTAAGTTTAAAACAACCTCATGATTTCCCGCACATTTTTATTGTCCCTTATGCAAATATTATGCAGCTCAGATCCAGAGATCAATAGGAGCCGCAATTCCAGACACTACAATCATCCGTCCTAATCATCATTTCAACTCCAAACCCACAGAAGTGTTCAATTGTCTCACCTTTGCTCCGATAACGCATATTTTGTTGTTGATCTTTCATCCATCAAGGTGATAATTTCAACACGACCCGGTTTACATACCAGTAGACACGTTTTGATTTGTTTGTGTATATTTGTACACGTATGCTTAAGCCGCATGTCATGCATGTCTGGAGATAATATCCGGGTAGCGTACTTGCCATGTATAGTTATTGATTGCACACTTAAGGCATCTATCTCCTAATGCCAATGAGTTACATAATCTTTGTTCCTGTAACGAGCTCGTTGTAATTACCATTACGATTAACCAGATTAACATTGATTACGTGTGTACCAAAGAGGGGATCGCAACACATAACCGGGTGAACTTTCACCCTACCGGTATTTTCTCGATCGAAGTACAATTGTAATGAATTCGCTGAATTAATCAATTCTCAGTACATGTATATCAGATTTCTTTGAATTTTAGAATAGCTGTTTTAAAATTCCTGGAAACAGTGAAACAAAATACATTAAGTATTAAAAGTAAATTTATATCTTTTTTTGTTTATTTGCATTTTTGCAGGTGTGATCACAACCACAGACAATGCATTGGACCGAGAAGATGAGGAATATCACACCTTAGAGGTATGGCACACCCAAATTTGTTAACCCTAACCCCTTGGCCCTTTTTGCTAGGAACCATCCTCAATCCTCCAAAATCCTCCAGATACTGCACTTATGTTCAAATGAAGGATGCCCACTGCCTCAATCCTTCAAAATCCTCCACCAGCCCTGCCTCTCGAAATTCATTCAGCCTCAATCCTCCAAAATCCTCCTCTTCTTCAAACACCATTGCAGCCTCAATCCTCCAACATCAACCGATATTGAATGTCCATGTGCCCTCAAGCCTCCACAATCCTCCAAAATTGTATGTTGCATTCAGCCTCAATCCTCCAAAATCCTCCAAAACCACCAAGAGGACTTTGAAGGATTAAGGGAGGTTAGGATAAATGAATATTCATGAATTTTATCGGTCTGTGAATATTCATTAGAATGAATGGATTAGCAGGGATCAGTCTGGTGTACAAACATTAATGAGCAAGCAAGACTAAAACAATGAAAAAGGCACATCAGCACATCTTCATGAATATTCATACATACCGGTATGAACTGCTTGTCTGAATAGAGGAGATATCCGTTGTAATATATAAATATAAACAAAAATCAAATTAAAAAATAAATTCCCTTTGGAATCTGAATGGTGTAAAGCGCCCTTTAATCAAATGAATCACGCTGCTTTCCTCAATGAAAACAATCCCTCGGTTTAAAAACACACGGCCTAAAAACAACACCACCAAAGCCCTACAATCTCAGCTCACGGTCAACAAATACTGTAGATTGCATTTAATGCCCATGCATCATGATGCACGGGACATCCCTCCTGTACAATCTAATGCAGGGTGTATATTCTCTTGAGAACATCTGCAGCAGGCATATTGATCTAGTATTTGGGCTGGACGTGACCGGTTATTTATTTTCTTATTTTCCTCAGCGGTTATTCCGAACCAGTAACGCTGAGATTGATTGAGATAGTGTATGGAGTGCACACTTCATTTGGGGGAAAGGTTACCAAATGACCTGCACGTACTGCCTCTCTTTATCTGACTCTTGTTATCACAAGATGATTGTTTGTAAAATAATAATAAAATAAAAAAGGGATATTTTTAATTTGGACTTTATAGAATATCATGTGTTTGAAGGTACCAGTAAGAAAGCCCCCAAAAAAGAAATGAATAAATAAATTTAAAAAAAATTTATTCTTTTTCACACCTAACGGTGTAGTTTAGGTCTGTGTTTGAATTGAACTTAAATCCTACAAAGATTCTCTGTTCACACTTTCTGGTTTTTTTTATATTTTGAACAACGGTCATACGTACTTTCTACACATGTGATCAGAAGATTTTCAGTGTGAACACGGTTAAAAATGCTGCAGTTTTGAAATTGTGTGATTGTGAATAGCTTGAAAACCTTAAGTTCTAAGACATTAATCTGATATAGAAGAATACACACCCTGCATGAAATTAACTGGAACATATGCTTAGCTTCGTCATGTGGTTTTGTCGTTTTATCGGTGAGTGAATACTCTTTTAATTTAGCACATCCATCTTTTTTTGGGGGGTGATATATTTGATAAATTGCTTACAAACGACCTACTACTCAACTGGGCCAGAGAGGGCAATGAAGCTTTCCATTCATACTCCCACATGGAATTGAAATTGATTGAGTGGAGTTTCTTTATTCAATATTATGATACCTCTAACTTGTAACCATTTGACTGGTTTGACAGTGTGATAAAATAGCATCATTATCAGGCACTGCAGTACATACCAGGCACAATTTTGTGGTACTGCTGATCTCACGATTTTCTGATAACATAAAACTACTTTTATTTCATTGAAAGCAGAAGCATGTAAGCACAACAAAGAGCAGGCTTTGTATAGATGCAGAATTTTCTCAGAATAGTGGCCCAAACATTTATAAAGTCAACCCTACCCTCCTCTAAAAAGTAATAATGCTCAGGGCAATTCAGCATCCGGCTTTAAAATTTGTCCCGAAACGTTCAGTTTTGTTGATTGTAGGTGATATTTGAAATTTGATTTTTTAACTTTCATGACTTCCATTTTCCCAATTTGCTGCATCACATGTATTGTTAAATAAGGCATTTGAATTGCAAATGAATCATTTAATATTAGTTCCTCATGTTCACTTAATTTGAGTCGTAATTTATTTTGCCTTCGGAATTTTGAAATCAGATGAAGCAACTGCCGACCTCAAACATCTCCATTTTCAAATCATTCTTAAAAAGAAATGATTCCTCCCGGATTTCATCACCCCCCCCCCCACTCCCAAGTTCCACTCAGTGAATTTATTCATTTAATAACCCACTGACGGATTGAAGCCAGCACCTTCTGTAATTTCCCCTGCGAGTGCTTTTCCAAATTGACGTATTTCTTGGCAGGATTGGAGTAATACTAGCCCTGAAGCGGGGATCGAGGTTTTATGTACCTAAGTTGAACCAGTAAACATGCATGTCGGTTGTATAAAAAATGCAGGACTTGTGAATTTTCTGGATGTAAGTTCTCATGATGTCTAAAATATTACGAGCTTTGAAGGCGTGGCTCTAAAGCTGGAATTATCCAAGGCTGAAGTCATTTCTTAAACTAGATGACCAGTGTTTGAGAACCTGATTCACACGGAACGTGCATAAAATAGTTCTGAACTTTTTCTTTTATTTTGGTGTGGGGTGGATTTTTTTTGCGCGTACATTCATACTCACAATCTACATTTGTAGCACACAAAATCCCAAGGGGGAATGGACGGTAGCGGATTTTCTCACATCGCAACCCGTCCCAGTAAATTCTGCATGACGCGTAATCAGGATAGACGTTATCCCCTCTAGAATTACGGTCATAGCCCAAGTTAAGTGTATGTTGAGAGGCCGACATGTTAATTACCAGGGGGCAAAGTAGCGTTTGTAATCACGTTATATTTGGTCAATCTGCATAGCCCCGGCATTGCTTGTGGGCTTGTCAACTTATCAGCCGAAGAATTTCAGTCGACATACCAACTGAGGCCAACCAAGCAATGTGAAGTTGGAATTGACAAAATGATCTGTGGGAAAGGCAAAATATGGACACTCTTTTTTTAAGGATAAATGTAGGTTTTTAGTGTATTTTTGTTATAATTTTTAACTAACTACTGGTACCTGGGTATATGGACTTGCCTCAAAGAATGCATATAAGGTTTGGATAAACTTCTGTAATACATTTTTTCCCTTCCCTTAAAAATTAAGAAATAAAAAAACCAGGAGAGGTTAAGCAAATCATATCAAAACAATTTGTTCAGCACAATTCTATTCACAAAAACGTAGGATGTCCATGAACAATTGTGATGTTCCTTCAATCCGTTTCAGAAAACACATGCTGGACAGTACTCCATTGCAGACAATGAAGCGACTGTCCATCGACGGCCAGTGAACTTTTCACCCCTTTGCTCTGCTCTGAATTTCCCAGAATTTTCATTTGTTTCACGAAATTAGCCAGTAAATCCCTGATGAGTAGTAAAATTCCTAATTGAAAATTAGGTTACAGGTTCAATGACCTCGTAAAAACCAGGGTTAAACATGTTCAATGTACCAGTACTGCGAAAGCGTTCTGCACAAATCGACTGGTTTTAATTGTTGGTTGACGGAGTTGCCTGATCAATGAAATGTTGTCAATCATAAATTCAGCGCATACCTCTTAATAGTAATCCAATTAAGCTGCATTGTGACTTGCTCGAGCAGAAATCACGGTTACCAGTTAAAGTGATGCTGCAAAAGTGTGAGCAATTGATCGGCATTGACTGGCTACCAACCAGAATCAACAGATACCGGTACTAGGGTACGTGTAAAATTGTGAATAACTGAATTTTTTATGGACAAATCACTAGTTGCTAGTACCACGAAGGGGAATGTTGGGATCCAGCTAAAAGTTAGTGCAGGTACTTCAACCCTGCTTACCAATTTCAAGTAACCAGAAAATTGAATAACTAGACGAAAAACAGTAGTGATTTTTGTGTTCAACTTTGAATCAACCAATGCAACTCAATGATTTTTTTTTTAACAAAATTTGTTTGTCTTCTAATACAGCAGAATTGTATGGTGTCCCAAGGTCTTAAGATTTCTGCCTTGTATTGAAGACAGTAATGCATTCCCAGTTGTGTATTTGGTTAAGTGATGACTTACACGAACGTGCTCAGAGCTCAATTTACAAAATGTACGTGCATGAATAGAGGTGTTGAAAAGACGCTTATGTCCGAAAACACGTCAGCACATAAAATAAATTTACAGGTGTACTTTAATTTTTTCATGGGGGGGGGGGAGTGGGGAGGGGGTGTTGATGTTTCATAGGACACTTGCCAATCTGAACAAAATACTTTATTATCTTTCATCTTTCTCATTGTTGGTAAAATTGTCCATTTTTCATTGTGTGCAGCTGCTACTGCACTGACTGAATCCCAAAGAAGTATTTCTTGTTTTCACATTTAGAAACAAAACCCCAGGGACAAAACTGCAACAAACAAGTTCTGGCCAAGAAAATAAGTAAATTTCATGCCATAAACACTTTAGCTAAAGCGTTAACCAGGAACTTTGACCAGATAATGTGATTTGGATCACATTGCCGGATGGCGAATTTTTCTTTGTGCCGTGGGGCAGAACATGGCAGTTTAAAATCCCAAACAGAACTTGGCACCTTAATGCACGGGCGATGACAAGCCGCTGTTGTTTTTGTAGGAAACATCTGGCAAGGTGTTTCACGAGAAAAATAGCCACCAGGCCCTACAGGTGACCCTAAAAAGAAAGAAAAACCGGAGAATGTTCACATTTTTTGCACCATATTTCAATCATGGGATTCTGTTGCCTTCCTCCAGGGACCAGACTGCACTTTGATGTTGTATCTAATGACTGCCCAAGGGGGCGATCTACATGTAAATCCCCCAAATATTGGGTGTATCACTTCTCAACCCCCCCCCCCCCCCCCCCCCCCCACCCTCACACTTGACCAGGTGTTACATTTTTGGCCCACTTCAGTCAGAAAAATTTG